GTGGGAAAACCAGATCTTCGTGTGACGATCTGAGCGCGCTTAGCATCTTTGATGCGTTGGCGAGCTGCGCGAAGTACCGTTCTGCGAGTTGCAATATTGCCTCTGGCAAGGTGCCGGCTCACGGCCCAGTCTGCCTCCGTCTGGTTGCGCATCTGCTCGCGCCAAACCGGGGCGCTGAAAGAATTTGGGCTAAAACATTCGCGCCTGCTTGGAGCAAAACGGGTCCCAAAAAGCGCGCGAAACCCTATTAGTTCCTCCTGCAAAAGCCTCATCCGCCTGGCCCGCCACCGTTTCATTGCTCAACCCGCTGCGCGGTGCCCAGGATGGGCCCCACACTCCGCAAAGCTGCGGAAGCTGCGGAAGCTGCGGAAGCCGCGCCCGGGGTGCGGGTGGTCGCGCCACGCGCCGGCAGGCGTAGCCGCCGAGGGTAAAAAACGCCACCCCGCCCCGCGACGCCTGAAAACAACGCCGCCCAATGCTCCGCAGAAGCCGTCGTCGGCCTGCCGGAGCACGAATTGGCAGGCTAGCGTCTCCTGCTGCGCCCCCGCGAGGCGCTGAGACCCCGGCGCCGCGCCGAGATGGCGGCGTTGCTTGTCCTGGGCGCCCCCCGGGGTGGGGCGGCGGCAGGCGCGGGCGGCGGGTGAGGCCGGGGCCCCGGCCAAAACCCGGGAGGTGGGCAAGGAAAGCGGCGCTGCGTCCCGCTTCTATCAAAACGCCCGCGGGCGGGGCGCTGGGCCCAGGGGCCGGCTCGCATTCCACCCTTTTGGAGCGCGGGAAAATCCGCGACGGTTGCGGGGCGTTGGCCGCCGGGGCGCGGTGCGCCGGGCTCCGGGGGCTTGGCCGGGTACCCCGCGGTGCGGAGAAACCCGGCCCGCGCCCCGCTGCTCTTATTGTTCTATTTTATTTATTTATTACTATTACTTTTTTTTTTTTGGCGCCTTTCCCCTAAAGCGCGAAGGGTTGCGTGCGGAGAGGTTCGTTCGCGGGGGCCCTGTCGCGAAAGGCCTGTCTTGTGGCGGCGGGTCTGCGAGGTTGCTGGCGATTCGGAGGGCGCTGCGCCTCGGGCGTCCCCATCGAGACGGCCCACTGGCGCCCGCGCTGGCCGGCCGGGCGGTTGTTGCCCATGGCGGGCAACCGGGGGCGCCGCGGGTTCGACACTGCGATGGGTCCCTTTTTGCGGACGGGGGCTTTCCTTTTGGTAGGCCGAGGCCCCGCGCCGCGTCTCGTGAAAGGGGCCCCTCCAGTGGGAACGCCCAGCGGGGGGGCGGCATTCCGAGCGAACAGCTAGCATCGCGGTGCGCGCGGCTCGCTTCCCCGGCCTCCGGGCGGGGTGGTCGGGTTCCCCCTCGCGCCGACGCACGGCTCCAACGCGCCAAAAACCTGCGCAAACGCGTGTCGGAGCGAAGCCGCCGAGTGCCCCGTAGCCTGCCCTCTCCCGGCCTCTGCTGGAATGGCGGCGGTGCCTTTTCCGGCGCCGCCTGCACCCGCCAGTTTTCGGTTTGGCTCTTTCACTCCCGTTCCCTATTCACCTTTGCAGTGTGCTTGCGGGGCGTTCTTCTCTTTCAAACCCGCGGCGGTGGCGGCCGGAAAAATGCGCCCCCTTTTTTGCAGCCCAACACCAACGCAAAGGAAAAAAAAAAGAGAAAAACAGGTGTTGTATGCATCTGTTTTCTTGGCGGCGTTCTTTGACGCGTTTCCCCCCAGCCCCGATGCGCCGCCAAAAAAAACAAAAAACAAAACGACCGGGTCAAGGTAAGCTGCCGGCGCGCGATCCCATACAAATACGCGCGCGCAAATGGAAAAAAAAAAAAGAACGAGCGCCGGTATCCTACATAGAATCTTAGCAGCCTTTTCGGGATGGGCATGCGGCGCGCGTGCCTCAGCGCCGCGCCAGCGCCACCCACGGACCACGAGATTTTCTCTCACACAGCCAAACGGCAACCCCACAAGTGGCCGTAGCGTGGCCAATAGCAAAACACAGCTCCGCCCCATTGGCTCCTTCCGTAAACCCCTCTGGCACCCTCGCCCCCGCCCCGGCTCTCTCACGCGCGCGGGGGCAGAGCGGCAGATCCCCTGCCTCATCTCGGTTGTGCTCCTTACTGCCTTCCTATTGGCCCCTTCTTTTCCTCCTGACCCTCGCCCATGTGCTCACATTCCTGTTCCCATGCGTTAGTGGGGGGCATCCTCGTTGACGCGATTGATTTGTCCTCATGCTACTCACCTCCGTTCCTCCTCTCAAAATTGTTGTCCCTGCCTCTCCCTCTTCGCCCCCGCGTCGCTGCCTCAACTCCTGCCCCGCTTCCGGCGCCTCACTAGCACCCGTACCCCCCTCCTTCTAGGGCCGACAGTGGATAACACACCGGCGCACATAAAAAGACGCCGGACCGGAACGACAGACGAGCCGGGGAAGGAATACGTAAATATACAAGTATATTTATATATTCGTACATACAAAAATGTTTTGTAAAATGCCCGTCGCACAAGTAAGGGGTTTGCGCAAAAACAAAAACCAAAATAACAAAAAAAACCCCCAAAAAGGAGATTGATAGGTACAGCAAATACAGCACAACTCACACACACATGTTGCGCAAATCGGCTCACCCATGCATCCTCAACAAGGTGCATTATATACATTACATGCTAGCACGCCCCCCGCACCTACGTAGAGATGCTTGGATGGAGATAATAATGAGTTATTTAGTTGTTTCCCACTTTCTTCATTCTTTCCACCCCCGAAGCCTTTCTTGTTTATCCCTTCTCCCTATTCCCCAGTCCCCTGCCCCTCACTACTTCTGCATCATGAATGTTTTCTCTACAAAAGCACACACGCACACACGCATACACGGGAGTTGCGCCTCAGAAATTATCTTTAACTTCCCTCAATACATCCGCCCCCTTCCCCGTCACGGGCCCTTCTTTCAATACATGTGAATGTACCACCGTTCTTTGCGTCATTGCGTTACCCCTTCGCTCGCGAAAAGAGACTGGGGTAAAAAACGTGAAACGGGATAAAGGGAGGTCTCCCCCCATCTTTTCTCTTCTTCCTTGTCTTTCCTTGCGCGTGTGCGTGGGCGTTTTCCACTTCCAGTTCATCCGTTGCATGTACGAACGTGCGTGTTTATGAAATAAATAAATAACGAAGCATGTTTGTTTGTTTTCTATTTATTGGCACCGCCTTTGCCGTGTGCTTCTACTCCTTGCCCTCGCCATCGTCCTCCTCTAAAAATGTTTCCTCCAAGTCTTTTTTAACCCGCTTTATCCATTCCTCGGTATCTTCGAGCGGTGCGGGCTCCGAGGAATCCGCCACGGCACGTGAGAGGAGTGGGTGCCCTATGACATGCGTCTTGTCATCCCCAGCAGGAGGAGCATGCTCGTTCGTTCGCTGCTGCTGGGTCGCGGTAGTCTGGCTGTTCCCAGCGTTTCCAAGCGTTTTTCCGCCCCGGTGTCCACGGCGCGTCCGCTTTCGCGACGTTTCATCCCACCACCGGCAACACTGCTCCGCCCACGATTGCAGCCCCACCGTATCGGTATGCATGGCTTCATCAATAAGGCCCTTGGGCGGTGAGGGGCACCGTTGACGAACACGGGCGCGTGTGTTTTCCTGCGCCAGAACGATGCGCTTGTACCACCGCACCATCGTTGACCGGTACTGGTTTACCCACTCCAGGGCTGGCCTGGGGCGGGTTCCTGCAAAAAACTTCTCGAATGGTACGGGCGAGGGCAACATCTTGAACCGCAGCGTCTTTTCCTTTAGGTGGCTCTCCCCATCAAAGGTCGAAAAGTGGAACGAGGACGGCGTCACCACGCGCGGGGGTTCGACCGCCGGCCAGGGCCGCTGCTGCTGCTGCTGCGTCTCCAGCGGGCTCCTCTCCCCCGGCGTGGCGGTGGCACCGGTGCAAACGCTAGCCACAACACGCGGCACAGCAGAGGGCACGGGCGTGTCATCGCCGCCAGGACACAAAGACGGGCTGGCTGTCATGCCGCCCTGGTTGAATTCCGCTGCAGCGTTACGCATGCAACACATCCCGCCGCGAAGAACCGCGCCGCCCGACAAGCTCCACCCTGGCAGCGGCGCATCCACGCGGAAGAAATCGTTGCCCGGCCTTTCTCCCTTGACGGCATTCGCATTGTACCGGGCCTCCTCCAAGGAAATGGCGTACCGATCAGGCGGGGGCGGATGCGCTTGTGCGGGGCCCCATCCCTCAACTGGTTTGAACACAAGTGACATCCCCATCACCGAACCCACCTCCTCGGAACTGTTGTAGCTGCTCGTGAGTGGGCCGTCTGTCAGGCGGGACGAGTACGACGGGACGGCGGAGGCGGTGCCGCTTTCATTGTTGCTCCAACGTCGGTGACAGCTCGCGCTCTCCGCACCTGTGCTTTTATGAAGCAGCATGTGGCCGGGCGTGAAGGACTCACCCAGTGGCGCGGCGGAGGGAGACGACGTGGGATTCCGCGCCTCCTCCGGCTGTGGGGGGCGCAAACCCATCCGATTGCCCGCCTCCGCCTCCACGAGCATCTCGGCAGACGGCAAAACTCACGCGCACGCACACACACAGTGTGAGAAAACAGTCAAAGACAAAAAATACACTTCCCATACCACAGGAAGCCAAGACACACAAGCAGGAAAACAAAAACGACAAAAAGCAAAATAAAAAGTGAAAAGAACAACAAAAGGATGCTAGGCAAGCAAGGGTTTAACGCACAGCCCTGTTCCTTCCCGCGACAATTGCACAAGGGGGAAAAAACAACAACAGAAACAGAAACAAAAAACAATTCCAGGCACCATTCGGATCACACACATAAAGGTGGCGTGGCAAAAAAATACAGGAGTGGTAACGGCCAGAACTGCACAACAGCAACAGTTCTGCCGCTAAGGTTCGTATGTGTATGAATACAAAATTACAGGTAACTGATATTATTATTTTCGCACTTTCTCCCTCCCCGCCGTTCGCTCCTTATTCCTATCGCGTACTGGGACCCTGGTATAAATGCGTCTTACCACTTGTAGATGTGCGTACCTGTGACCTTTCGCTTATTTCTTTCTATTGTGTTCTCTCTCTTTAATTATGCACATGCCTGTAGTGGCAGCGGTAGTAAGCGATAGGTGAGGAAACGGGAACTGGACGGAATCCGCAGCTGGCTAAACCAAACAGTGTCCTCCCCTCTCCTTTGCTCGCCTCGTTACAGCCTTTCTGCTACACATGCGTCCGTGCCCTTGCTTGATTGGCCGCCTCTCCTCTTTGCTAGCCGTGCAGAAACGTTTTTTTTTTTTTTTTACGCTCGCCCACCGTACCCTGGCGCACGTGCTTGAGAACCCAACACCCCGACAACGCACACACGGGGCTCAATTAAATACACACTCGCGTCGAAGCTGTCCATCAGCAAGCAAAAAGAAAATAACAACAGCAACACTCACAATGCACAACAACTCAGCAGAAACCGGCAGTTACGTAAGCAAGCGCACTGGCAGCGCACGTGTGCGTGTATGCATGTGTGGAGGGGGGGACGCAGTGAGTGCGACAAAAAGA